CGGAGCCCGGCCGGGCCCCATGGGTGTAGGCCCGGCCACCAGGCGGTCACCAACGAGCCCCACCTCCAGGCCTGGCTCCAAAGGGGGGCACCAGTGACCCGCGTCCGGGCAAGGGAAACTGAGTTTCATTTATTTTATTCATCATAAAGGGTTCTTGAGCCCTGCTTTGTCTGGTCCCTCACCTCGGACTTGTTTGCCATGCGTGACCCTGCCAGGGGCATCAAGTCCCAGACAACTTAGCTCCTGGGATCATATATATATATATATATATATATATATATATATCACGTTATATAATTTGTAAATTAAACAAATAATGATGCAAAAACAGTGTGTTGCCTGTCACGACATTGCGCAATTTGTTTCATTAACATGTTCCCTGACAGGATTACCAAAGCAAAGAAAACAAACAAGTGTGATGAACAGGAACGAACAAAAATATTCGTGGCAAATGTCTAATGATTGTTGTCCTGACGATATGCCAGAATGACATCACAGTATGTGGGAGGGAAGATGCATTTTCACACTTCTTTGGGATCTTGTTGCTATTATCTCACCAAAGCATACTGATATGTGCTCTGCGGGGACTAGCGGGGGAAAATAATTCAACAATGGGGAGCAGTTTGTGGCATGGTTTCTCCAAGGCAAAGTCATCGGGTTGGATTAAAAAGAATATACAAACAATGCTAACTCATATGAGGCCAACATCTGTGTCCTCTTTCCAACAAAACTACAAGCGGCTTGCTTTGGATTCAGATTCAGTGTGTCATAGCTGAGGAGACATTTGTCAGTCAAGTTTGGAACTGGACACTAGTTGATGCCGCTAACTAACGTAGCAACACAGATAGCCATTAAACTGAACACATTTTTGCTTTTTACTCAATGCCGCGCGTCATAATAATGCAACTGGGTGTAGTTACTGAGAGCAAAATCCTGAGTCAAAAGCTGGAGAGCAATACAATTAGGTACAAAAGTATTTGGAAAAAGATGTTTGATAGGGGTCGGTCCTCTGTTTGGCATGGTCTGGACCGACGACATTTCATGGTTACGATCAGCGCGCAATGAACTGAGTGTGCAAGTAAACTACGTGAGTAAATGAGTGTTTGGCTGTTTTGCGTTTGATTATTTTATATATATGTCAAAGGTGACCACTAAAGGTGGCATCTCTCAGGGCGAATGTGGCGAATATTGTATTTTATTTTTTTTTGGTTGGGGTTCGTTAAAAGTTGCAAAAGGTTGCCACGACGGCAAACAGTTTTAATTGTCACAGACAGTTTTTCTTGTCGCCATCAAATTTTGAACATGTTAAAACGTCTGTGCGAGAACCACTGTCTGCAAACGTTAAAACTGTTTGTGAACATCTGTCAAACGTTTTTGCAACCTTTAACGCACCCGGTGAAAAAAGAACATTCAGGCCATGCACAAACAAACACAAACCTTCACCTTCAGATAAGGGCTTGATGGGACAGGCCAAAAGGAACAGAAGCGGATTTTATATTTATGTAAATGCATAACCGATCATACTCATTTTCACACCTCAGGACAATTCACAGTCTTCAATGAAACGATTTTTTTGAATGTGGAAGAAGTGCGAAGTACCTGCAGATAACCCACACAGGCAAGGGTAGAACATACTAACAAAATCTGAGCTGAGATTCGACCCCCAAACATCAGAACTGTGAGGCAAAAGTGCTAACCCCTTGTCCGGCGCGCTGCTGTGACCTGAATCACCTTTCCAGATTCTGCCCATGAATCCCATACATGCAGAATTGGAGGAACAACTGCATAAAGCGTCATTGTTGTGAAACCTCTCGAATCCAAAATTTCAATCATCTTACTGGTGGGTTTCGTTCCATTGTGGCGGTACACAAAGGCAAAGTTATTCAAAGGCTCTCACTGGCCAAATATTTCTGAATGTAACTGTGTATTGAAGCATGGTTGCACATTGTTGCGGTCTAATAAAAAGCCACGCTGCACCAAATTGGGCGTTTGTCGTGACATCCTGAAATCAATAAAGAGTATGATCAGCCCACGAGATTTGTTGATTTGCTTTTATTGGACTGCAACACTGTGCTCCTCAGTTATATCAAAGATAGTGTATTACTTTTATTTTTCACTTGGGCTTCAACAGTCACCAAGGATCAAGGATAAAATACCCAATATTGTAGATTTATAATAATAATAGCAATAATTTTAGTCTTTCACAATCATTTTGGAACATCCCAGACCTGTAATACGTTGGCTCTAAAATCCAGATCATAAAATGTTGAAATAAACAGAGGCATCGCAATGATATCACCTGTACAACATGAACTAAAATGCAGCCAAACAATAATACCACGGCTTTTAGTACCATTCAAATAAAAGCACAAGAACATCAAAACATGCTGTGTCAATCACACCCTTTGTGATCGTAAAACAGTAAAAGCATGAAAACCCCAGCCCAAATTAGCTTTATGAAAACTCACGGCCCAAAGACGCGAAACTAAACGAAAATACCAAAGCCTATGCGGATAATTTTCTTTATACCAAATGATTTTGAGTTATGTTCAAGAGCCAGAAGTAAAAAGTGTCTCTGGAAGAGAACCGTCTGATTGAACTGAGTTAGCGGAGAATTTTTCACTTCAACTATCTCTGGCCCCTCACCTTGCTCTTCTTCTTTTTGTCCACTCCAAAGAATTTTCCAATCTGATCCAGAACGCCGGGGTTCTTCTTCCTGCGGCCCAACCCGAAGGCGGCCTGTGCGGAGCTGCTCGCCGATGCCATGCTTGTGAGAGTCGTAATTAGTGGTGGGGTTGTCAAAAGTGAGGGATACGTCTCTCTTACGGCAGAGGATGAGATGGAAGCGGGAGGGAAGAAAGGCTAGCCTAGTCTAGGTCCTGTTCGGGGCTCTCCGACCCGCACTCTGAAGCCGCTCCGCTGTGCTCCTGGATAGTCTGCAGCTCGTCCGATTCAGAGGGTCGGTCTTTGAAGGTGTTGTCCTCTCGGCCCGGGGCATCTCGGGAGAAGAGGCGGGCCAGGTGGGGGCGCGGTATGGCAGCATCAGGGTCAGCTGTGCTGGCCGAGGTCCAGGCCGAGTGGGGGCCCTCAGCGCCTGTGGAGTCAGTCACCGCCGGCTTCTCCGAGATGCAGCCATTGTTCTTGTTTGCATCTCTCTCACCCGTTCCTGCAAAGGAACAACAGGGGTCACTCATGGGCTCGGGCCTGCATGGCACGCAGCACGCTGCACGAACACAATGGGCTCTTTTGACCACACTGCGCCCTTCCTGCTGCTGGGTTAAGAGGTCCAAAAACATCGGCATTTGAACCAGAATGAACTTTGACTGATCTGCCTAGTTTTTCCAGATCATTAAATCATTGTAAATGTCAGACACAGATAACCCAAGTAGACATAAAATGACATTTTTAGTGATTTTATTCAAGGGGGAAAAACGATTCTAAGTTACTTGGCCCTGTGTAAAGTACTTGCCCGTCTTGTCAAATCATGAACTACCCTTGGCTAATTACATTTTTATTGGAAAATTATCACTGACCACAGCCAAGTCCGATTACTTCTCGAGCCATTCAATCAAGAAATCACTGAACCTGTCTGACAAAGTGAAGTCAGCCGAAAGATCCCTAAAAGCTACGACAAAATGCCGCGATCCAAACAAATTCAAGAACAGATGACAAATAAAGTCATGGACATCTATCCGAGTGGAAATTACTACAAAGCCATTCCTAAAGCTTCAGGACTCTAGCGAACCTCGGTGAGTGCCATTATCCAAAGATGGGATGGCGGTGAACCTTCCCAGGAGTCTACATAAGTGACCCCAACAACACAGCGACGACGCATCCAGGAAGTCACAATGAAACCCAGGACAACGTCTAAAGAGCTTCTCGTCTCCCTGGTCAGTGTTCATGAGTCAACAATAACGAAGAGACTGCACATCCATGACAGAGTTGAAGAACATCAAGGCTCATCTTACTTTTGCAACGAAAACATGAATCATTCACAAGAATTTTGGGAGAATATTCTATGGACTGCAAAAGAAAAGTTGAATTTTTTGGAATTTCCCCATTTACTCGTCATGTAAATTGAGCATTTCTGAAATAGAACATCATGCCAACAGTCGAACATGATGGCGGTAGCGTGACACTCTGGAGCTGAATTGCTCTTTTAAGACCTGGACGACTTGCTGTCATTGATGGTACCAGGAATTTTGCTCTTTACAAGAAAATCCTCTGACATCAGCTTGTGACCTCAAACTGAACCGTATCTCTATTCTGCCGCACGACAATGATCCAAAACGCATGAGCAAGTCACCTTCTGAAATGCTGTTTAAAAAACAAACAAACACATTTGAAGTCACCTAGTTCAAGTCTGGATTTGAGGGTGGCCCGATGGGTGACTGGTTAGCGCGTTGGCGCCACACCGCCGTGCAAATCCGTGCATCGCGGATTTTTTCAAACATAAAAAAAAAAAAAAAAAAAAAATTAAATCTTTTTTTTTTTTTTTCTTATAAAGGAAAACAAT